TAGTAGTACTGACCATGTGGACATTTGGGGTAGAAGTGGATCTCTGTCTTTGAGAAAGGGAACATTCAGGAGAAGGATTTGTTCCACTGAATGTGAAGACATGAGGTGTAGAATATCTATGCTGAGAACTAAGGAGAGAAAACAAAATTATAGACGCATGCTTTTGTATAAAGAGATTAGCATTAACTTGTGAGAATCTGTAGAACCTATTTAAGAATAATAAGTTTTATAATATACTTCTCTAGAAATAAAAAGTTATTTTGGAAATGATCATAGTTTCACAACTAATCCATCTTGGATTTTTACACCAGAGATCCCCCTCCTCCACATATGGAGGAGCATCCTAGCTATGTCCCACATGCCAGGGGTGAGAACTATGAGTGGTGGACAGGAGGCAGGTGCAGTGAGTGGTGGGCGTTGGGGAGCTTGGGCAGGTATGCACTGTGCATCACTACTGGCTGGGGCCTTCTTTCCCAGAAAAAGGCCCAGGCCTGGACACAAAAAAGGGCCCTGGCTGTGGTGGCACAAAAGAAGGGCACAGCTGGTAGTGACATGCAGTGTGCTGGTGTGGCAGTGGATGGGGTGATGCAGCAGGCAGTCCAGCAGAGAGAGGTGGGTGAGGAGAAGTGAAGTGGAAGTACTTATTGCTTTAGATTGAGAGGCAAAAGGAATCGCTTCTTAACTTATAGTGACTGTGCAAAGCTATACTCCTTTGCGGACAGCCTGAAGTGTCACCGAAGAAGTGAATCAATTTGAGATGAAGTGTTCTTTCCAAAACACCTTACCATTTTACACACATTAAACTTGCCCAGAAATTCGTAACGATTTTTAAAAAATATCAGCTTATGTCATTACTGCTATGAATGTTGTCAAAAACAGTAACAACCTAACACAATACAACTTAAAGGGCCACTTACTTAACAGGCATCCGAGACACAGATTCACGTATTCGCCGAGTCATCAAAGGAGGTGCTGAGATACCACTATCACCAACATTTGAATGTGGAAATAATCTAAAATCAAAACATCCAAAGGATAAAATTACTGAGTTCAAGAGATCTTAACATTTCAACCAGGACAACCGTGTTTTCTTCAAAAAAAAAAACATCTTAGGAAAAATTATAATCAATTGATACAGTATTTAAGTTTAAAAATGCATTTGCACGGGACAGTATGCCATACCTAGAAGATATTGTGCAAAACATGATTAAGCAAAGTACAATTTAGCATAATAAACTTAGAATTCTTTTACCAATACAATCTTTTCTCATTTTTTTCGTGATAGCATAGTATCTTAGGGAAGGCAATAAGGATTGCTATATTCTGGTTCTCATTTATCTTGAGAATCAGTTCTTATAAACAATTAAAACTATATCTTTGAACAGATAATACAGACAAAATGCTTCTGTTTGGAAGTATAGAGCTGTGCACTTTTTATTAACAGAATCCTGCTATGTCATCTCACATGCTCCAATCTTCTTTTATTTATATATTTATCTTGATTGTCTCAATCTTCAACTGCTTCACTCTTCATATCTCTTTCTCTCCCTTTTTCTTCTTAATTTGCTATTCAGCCTTGTTTATACTTACTTTAATAGAAAGTAACAGCACATGTATGTAAGTTGTAGAATGCAGATGTGCATCTTCATGGATTGTTACTATGTAATAGTGAACAGGCTTGCATAGCTGAATAATGCAATGAGCCTATGCTATTGGAATATTCATTCCCAGAAGGGTCTCATGACAGGAAAGTCATAAAAAAGGGAATCAGACTAAATGCAATCCACTGGAGAAAGAAACGGTATCCTATTCTAGTGCCCTGACAAGAAAACTACATGGACATTCGCAACCACAAGATATCAATATGATACTGAAAAGACAAGATACCCTGATTAGAAGATCAGCAATAAACTCCTGAAGAAGAGCATATTGGAAGTATAAGTAGCACCAACAGTCTATCTGGACCCATACCAGTCGGGCTTCAGGCCGGGACACAGCACGGAAACGGCATTGGTCGCGTTGGTTAATGATCTCTGGAGGGCCCGGGACAGAGGTTATTCCTCTGTCCTTGTTCTTTTGGACCTCTCAGCAGCTTTTGATACTGTAGACCACGGTATCATGCTGCGGCGTCTCGGTGAGTTAGGAGTG